ATCTATGCTTCCATGTCATTGAATCTATTCTGTTCATCAGTTTATTAAGTTCTTTAGATTCCACGTATAAGCGAGATCATGTGATATTTTTCTTTCTCTGCCTGGCTTATTTCACTTAGCATAATATTCTCCAGGACCATCCATACTGTCCCAAAGGGTATGAGCTTCTTCTTCTTTACAGCTGCATAGTATTCCATGGTGTAAATGTCCCACAGCTTTTTTATCCACTCATCTACTGATGGGCACTTGGGCTGTTTCCAGATCTTAGCTATTGTAAACTGTGCTGCTATGAACATAGGGGTGCATAAATCCTTTCTGATGAATGTTTCAGGATTCTTAGGATACATTCTTAGGAGTAGAATCACTGGGTCAAACGGCAGCTCCATTTTTAATTTTTTGAGAAACCTCCATACTGTTTTCCATAGTGGCTGCACCAGTCTGCATTCCCACCAGCAATCTTGAGTGAGTCACTTCACCCCCGTGTGCTTCAGTGCTTATAACCTGGAGATCATGCCTCTTTCACAAAAGTGAGGGGTGAATGAGATAATGCATGTAAAGGGCTTAACATCATGCCTGGCCCACCACAGCACTTTCTAAATGGAAACTATTATTGCTCCACAGAGCCTCCCACAGAGACACCCTCATTGCCAGTCACACACATTCTCACCTGTTCACACATGCTTTGTGTGCCATGTGCACATTTTTCAGCCCTTCTGGTGTTCTCACATATGTACATATTCATACATGAACTCTTGGTCTTTCTCTCCTACCCACTCATGCCACACCAGGTGGCAGGCCTGCCATTATGGAACATAGAGCCTGGCCTCTACATTTTCTCATGTCACTGTAACACACAGATGCATGAACATACACACACAAACCCTCTATTTCCGGAGCCCCTGTCCGTGATCCCTCCTTGCCTGCCTTGCACTCTGACAAGAGAAGTGAACTAACTCACCTAGGACTACACAGCGAAGAAGTGGGAAACTCAGGCTTCAAACTTGGGCCATTTGGCTACACAACATAAGCTTCTACTCATGACTCTATGCTGATATCTGAAGGCCCTGGAAAGAAGTGTATGCCAAGGGGTGGGCCTGGCACACCAAAGGGTCAGAGAGGAGAGAGCCCATCTGCAAGGCTAGCAGTCTTCTCTCCTAGTTACAGTCATCTTTACAGTCATCTATGGCCTGCCCTAGACCTTCTGTGTGTCCCCTCAAAGAGCCTGCACCCTCGTCACAGGTACACACACCCATTCCCTACAAAAGGAGGGAAGGTTCCATTCCTTTTTTTTTTTTTAAGAATTAAAGTGTTTTATTT